ATAAATTGGCAGAATTTAATTAATTGCATTTTTTTATTTAAAATCTTTTACATTAACTACAAAACATGTTGTGCTCAGTCTTTTTTTTCTGAATCCGTTAAGCTGTATACCATGAGGTTTCATGGCATCATTGCTGGAGCAGAATAAAAATCTCTGCAAAAGCATAGGGTTTTTATCCCTCCCACACTATCGTTTTCTCTTAATTTTTTTGCTAATAAGAGACAGAATTTTCAAGAATTATGATACGTCCAAGATAACTCTTTTTTTGGGTCTCAATATATACCATTCAAAAGAAACATAATAAAAAGCATCAAATCCAGATGGTGAGTGTTCTATGCCTTCTAAAAATGTAGATTGCCTAAACCAGTCACCTAACAAAGGGCAGCATCAGAAATCCCTATTCACTCTGGAAAATATGCCGAGGATATATAGTGCAATGATCATATAAACTTCATTAAAAGGACTGGCTTTGGTTGAAGAAATTTATAATACATCTTCAGCAGCACAAATAATTGTAGATATTCTATTTGTGAACTTACAACTTGAGCTAGCAGTAGCTGTGTGTTTGTGTTGTCTATAAGGCTAGTCACAGCCTGCCTTTCAGAGGAGGACTCTTCTAGGATCTCTCAGGTCAGAATTTCAGTCCCAAATTTCATCATGTTTTTGCCTTTCTTGGACAAAAGATCACTTCTGCAGCCCAGTGCCCCATGTTCTACAGCTGTCTTTGTTCCTGTTCTACAGTATGGAAACCAGAGAACAGTGAGTCTCTGTGCTGAAGTCAGTGCCAATGGTATTTCCCTTATTAACTTACATGGTGACAGATTTTCAGACTACGTACAAGACTGAGCTGTATACTACTTGCATTCAGTCATCACTGAATTTGGTTTCCTACAGCATACCAATATACATTCTGCAGATGTTGAGGACTATCATAATCACATCAGTAAAACTTAAAGATTTTGAGTAATGCTTTTTTTTTTTTTTAACTTTCTTTTTAATATTTTTTTACAACCAGATGTCTTTCAGAACCACTGATGACTTTCAAGCTGCACAAAGATTTCATTGTTGCTGTTAGTAAGTAAAGTAATAAATACACTTTCATGAAAGTCCTATTGTTTCTAACCCTTAGTTACTATCCTTATTTTTTTCCTTGGTCTGTTATTCAGTGATCCAGCTGTGGATCCGAGTTCCTCCTTGTCACTGTATGTGACAGCACAGTGCCACATGAAAGCCCTCAAAACAGAGAAGTCACACTACATGACTTCAGTGGTTTGTTCTGATTTTTTAGAGGTTCTGTGTGACTGCTTTCTGCATGAAATTTTGAACCTTAATTTATATGTTCGTTTGTTTTATGTGGGCTGGTAATTCTTTTATAGCATTCATCCCTCTCATCCAGGGACCTTTTTTTTCACAGCTTGCCTTGATAAATAGGAGGGGGTGATAATTATCTCTTCTCAAACAGTGTAATTAGACACAGAGATAGTAAGATTGTTTTTCTAACAATTCCAGTTTAGAATTTGAAGTTATTTCCCCTTTTCCTCTTGCCTTGATAAGAATAAAAGACACTCAAGAATTTTAGATATTTTCAATATCAAAGGGTAAAATCTTGGATTTCACTGAAGTGGCACATTGGGTCAAAATTGCCACAAATTTTGTTGGTTCCAGTATCAGTGGTAACTGCTTTTGGCAAGTTACTTGAAATATAGATTTCAGAATGTTTTAAAAAATATAATAAAATAGTCCTCATCATTTTAAAGGCTAATTGTGTTTGGCTCCTTGTAATGCATGTGTGTATTAGCCTACAGGCATTAGTGCCACTTGTAGTCACATCTTACCACATATTCTAATTCATCAACAATATTTGCTTTCTGTTCAATAGAGTCAGATGATCAGAACTACAGAGTTGAGGCAGTGCATGCGCTTGTGCATAAGTTACCAGAGAAGAACAGAGAGATGCTGGACATCCTAATCAAGCACTTGGTCAAGTAATTCTTCTTTATTTTTCTCTTCAGTATTATTGTAAGATGTGGTTATTTTTGCTTTAAATTTGCCAGTGTTGCTTAATCCATTCTCTGTCATTTCTAAAATGCTGTTCTCAACATAGCTGAAGAATACTCACTGTAGAAACAAAATAAAAAATAACACGATAAAGAGTCACCAAGATGACCAAGTATGTTTATAACATAAACCCACTCAATGTTTTCATTCACGTTCCTACTTAACAACAGGAATAGGCACTACTTAAATTTAAGAAACATCTAAAACTATGCTAAGGTTGATAGAAAATGCTGGTTTGAATATGACTTGAGGCCCACACTGTTTCAGAAGTGGAGAGTAACTAATACGTTAAGACTTGTCCTTTACGTTTGATCTTATTTTTCTAACAGCTCTAAAATGTAGTATCATTTGAAAACACTAATTTGAAGTATTATTATTTGTATTTTGGTAGCTATATAAATGTCCGAGCTCACTTTTGAATCTCCCTTGTTTCATTAACTTCTCTGAGTATTAATTAAATGTCAGATGGAAAAGATTTTGGTTTTCTTTGAACTGATGACCTTTTGTCTTCACAGAATTACACTTAGCATGTTCTGTGAGACAAAAAAGACAAGTTTTTATTCTCTTGTGTCTCTCTATCGCTAGCTGTGGTTACACACCATTATGACTTTATAATTTATCCTATTTCTGCATCAAATGTTATTAATCTGAGTTTTACTAAATCTTTGATCAGTTTTTACTGGTATTTGCTTAATAGTTTTTAATATGTGTTATTCTTTCTGATTTAGGATGCTATATACTTTTTAGTAGATTTCTCAGTGATCTGGGCACATGAATACTGAACAGCAGTTGTTCAATAAGGCCCACTGACTGAGATATGTAGAAGGCAAAAGAGAGGAGTCCATATTGTTTTCATTCTCTTTATTACATCCCAACTGTTTTGTTTTTGTGATCACAGCTTAAGCCAGAGCCTGTAGTAACCTGTCTACAGTGGAGTGTAATGCAGTTTAGATTCCTCTTATAGATGTGAGAGCTTTGAAAATGTCTTTGATTTGAAATTATTTAGTCCTAATAAATTATTTTTAGTTCTTTATGTCATTAGCCCCTGGAGAACTAACATGATAGGGAACAGCTGTGGATGCTTCTATTGATTAGGCAGACCTTGCATCTCCTTAGACATGGGGTAACCCAGAGAACCAGGTGAAAGCAAGTTTCATAAGTTTCATTACTCACTGAGTTGTTTGATAAGCTAAAAAATATAATATCTACTGCTTTCTAATCCTTTAATGAAGGATTAATGATGTTTGTAAAAGCTGCTAGTCTGGAAGCCTCAAAATTAGAAATATATATACATAGGAACTGACTTACTTCTAGTCAGAATTAGTTATAGGCAAACATTTCTTTCTTGACCTCTTTTCCTGCCTTCTTTATTCTCAATATGACCCCAGATGCATTTACAAAGAAAAGCATGCCAGCAGTGTTCCCTTCTTTAATTGTTCTCTTTAATTCTTGCCTATTACATCTTTGATGCAGTTCTCATTTCTGATAAATTTAAACTTACGGTTTTATACTGAAAACTTTCAGTTCTTTTCTTTCCAATGTTCAGTTCACCCCTTCTAATTTCTCATATAATTTGCCAGCTGTTGTTTATGCCAGCAATTCTAATGAGACTGAATTCAAAATTGGTGTCTTGATTGTATCAGTTATCTTCCTTCCTTATCTTTTTCCTAGCACTGTGTGGAGATTTTTCAAGGAACAAATGGCAGATAAAATGCCTAATTTTATATAAATGGGAAAATATGAAAAAAAAAACCCCAACCTCCTGTTGCTTCACTCTTTTGTTTAAAATCCAATTTCAAAATGTGCATCCTTTCCCTATATTTCTTGTAGGTGTTCATTTCCTTTATGTATGATTTTGTGTCTAGGTGAAAATATTATACTTTTAACTAGGAGTTATAAAATAAGGATAATTTTATTTTCTCTTGGTTTAGGTTTTAAGGTCTTTACAGCTTTGTCTATCCTGAATTTTGTGTCTCTGTGCAAAATTAAACGTGATCCAGATGTAGATAATACCAAAAACAAACAAACAAGCAAATCCAGCAAACCCAGGGAAAAGCACCCTGCAGAGGTGATGCTGTGTGACTGTGTACTCAGTCAGCAGCTAGGTAAACACGAGAAGTTGGATGTTATTTTCAGATAGGTAACTCATTTTTTGATTTTAAACCTTCCTAGTCAAATTACTTGCCAACTTTAAAGAATAAATTGTTCTTTGGTATAATTTAATAACACCATACTTTTCTAAGGTAGATAGTCAGAAGTCTGCGATCTGTCAGTATCAAAAATTTGCTGGTGATATATCAAGAAAGATATTTTGAGGAGAAAGCAACTGCACCTTAATGAATGTCTTACAGCTACCTGAAATGCATTATTACCTTGGCCTGTATCTATTCGTAGCCCAGCAACAGTAGGACTAGGTCAGGGGAAATTGGTTATCAAAATGATCCATTTACAGGCCTGGGTTTTTTCTATTTTGCAAGAAATTGAGCCTTTGAAATGCTTTGCAGAAAGTTCTTTCTGGTTACAATGGTATTAAATTCACCATTCCTTTTATTAACCAGGCTACCAAATTTGTAACCAAGGAAACCCAAACACAGGACAAACACTCCTTTGTGTCTTACACTGCAAACTATAATGTTTGTGTAAGAGACCTTAACAGTTACTGTGCAAAACAAAGCAGAGTAGCATTGCAAAGGATGGTATTTTTTTTACATTTTTCTAACAAACCTAGAGCTCAGTAATTCAGAATTACATTTTTATTAAAATACTAGTGGACTTCCCAAACATCTGTTAGTCACCTAAGCAAAAAATAAGATCTGTTACAGAGAAAAGTAGATGAAGATAATTGGCTAAAAATGTGCTTTCACAGAGTAGTCATTTTCATGATGTGGCTTCCAAATAACAACCTCTATCAGTGTATTTCTCTGAAGTAAAATTTTGGAAAGTTTTTTTGGCTTAACTTAATGAAGCAACATAGGCAGCGAGTAAGAAGATAGGCATTTATTTTCCTGCAGTTTATAATCATGTTGTCTCCAGCACAAACCTTTTCCCATATTTCTCCTGCCTCTCAATGTGAATGTGGTGCTAAAACATTCCTGTTCCAAATGTGAGGGGAGTATTACTTCATTATAGAAGTAATTGTACAGTCTCTCTCACCTCTATACCAAGATAATTCCACTCCTCTACTCATTCTGTGTATCATTAGTGTCTACTCAACAGTGAAACTGAGAGCAAGGGTAATGTGTGAGTCCAAACATGGGTTTGATCCTGATCCTAGCAAAATCCCTCAGTAGCTTTGGGAAAATCTCACATTCTTTCTGTCCCTGACTTTTTAATCTTTGTAAGGGGATAGTATTTGTGTTATTTGCTACCGAACTCTAATATTAGATAGATAGTTTTGCTGATGTTATGAACAAATCAAGCTATCTGAGAGTATAATTGGAAGGAAAATGTAGCAGATGTCTCCATAAACCTGACTAATGAAGGCTGTCAGAGAAAACCAGAAGATAAAGTTTTCTCCTACCTGCTAGTCTTCAGGATTTTATAGATTTTACTGTTTCTTAATTTTAAAAGGAAGAAGGGTTATTTTAATTATGTAGGAAATAGATAAAAATACTCAACTGGACAATGGTAGCAGATAGCAGTGAGAAGGAAGAGGAAAATGTGAATAATTGCCTCAATAACTGATTCTATTTGGTAGCAGATCCAGTAAAATTAATGATTAAGACAATTACCAAATCTTTTCTTGGCATGATATTTCTCAGACGTGAGACAATAGGGCAGCTGTGACTGGGGAATCACTGGCAGTTATTGTGAAGGATTTACGATGATACAGTTTTTATTCGGCAAATCTTATTCATAAGGAGAGAAAAGGGGCATTGAGGATTACTGATTGATGGTTTTCATTTTACTATCTGATAAATTATTGGAAAAACTAAGTTTCTAAATTCTACTAAGTGATAACAGAATATAAACAAGTAAAAGGTTAATATATTTTAAAGCCAGAATATGTCATTATGATCATCTAGTGTTATTTATACCACAGTAACAATTATTTCACTGACTTCATTGATCCCATGTTTTCAACACATTAATAAATAGATCCTATTGAAATTTAAGTGTTTTCAGTAGCTAAATTTCTCTCCGTTACATGAAAGCTAAGGTATATCGTTGACCTTCGTTATATCATAGTATTTTCAGTCAATCCAACATCAAGTATTTAAGTTCCTGTATAATCACTGGAGAGAGATAGGTACCTACCCTAAGACTCCTAAACTTCCCGTGTTCTGGAACTCTCTGTGAAGACCTTTGAAGGTAGTTGCTTTTCCCTGATGATTATGTCAGGAACTTAAATACTTACCCTAGGAAGATGTGCTCATTGTCCGCTAAGTTATTGCAGAATGGGAACCTTAATGGAAATACAGTAGTTGTACTACACTGCATTTTGACTCTAGTAAAAGTTTAAAAAATGTTTTTAAAGGGGAGGCATGAAATTGGGATGTTGTTAAAGAAATAGTCTTAACAGGTTTTTGCCTGTTGGAATTGTAGTTTAGCACAACTATGTAATTGCATATTGTTTGTGTTCATTTAAAGGGTGTCATTACACAGTCAGCAAAATCTAATGACTGTATCCAACCTTGGTGTTATCTTTGGACCAACTCTGATGAGAGCCCAAGAAGAAACCGTGGCTGCTATGATGAACATTAAGTTTCAGAATATCGTCGTTGAAATTCTGATAGAGCATTATGAAAAGGTAGAAATACATTATCTGACTGTTTTATGATAAAGTGGATCTAAGATCTCATTTTCATTACTATCCTTAAAGTCTTAAGAATAAGAAAACTAGCATTTGTAGAAGGAATTTGATAGAAAGAATGCCTTCCTCCCACCCCATGCTATGGATCTGTGTTCCTAGCAAGTCTTTTGTGGCTATGCAAGGTATAGATCCAAGGCATAATATCCCATGCTTTGAAGGAGTTGCTCCAAATCCTCAGTTGCTTTCTGATGATTGCTGTGTTCTTATATCTAGAAACAGAATGAGAAGGTAATAACTTTTCTCCCAGCTCCTCCATCTCTTTCATGCTAGCACTGTGTGCAGATTCACTCTGGGTGAATGCATAGATTCTTCTCTGAGTGCATCAAGTCAGTCTTTTTGACCATTGCTGTCCTTTGGGGTTATGCCAGCTGCACAGTGGAGATTTAGTCCCACCTATCGTCATGAAACCCTAAACATCCTTTAGTTCCTCTTTTCATGAGCAGCATCAATGTGGGTGCCCAGCACAATCCCCCATTTCTGTGTGCTGTGTCATTTTTCATGTGTGTAGGTACTAGATCAAAAGTAAAAAAAGCAAAGAAAAAAAATAATGTATCTCAGATGAGGTTTTATTCCTAGTTTTGCAGGTTTTAAGCCCATTGTGTCTTTGTGATTTAAAAGTTCTTAAATACTCTGGAACATACAAACTTCTCTAGGTAATTCTTTTGCTTTGAAGAAAGGCCTGTCTGTGACTGCCTGGTTTACTTTTTTTTTGTCCAAGGAGACCAGTAACAGTAAAGGTCCATCTCAAACTCTTTCCTGGAATGTTGAATAAGAACTGTTTCAGGGCTTGCGAAGGAAAATCCATGAATTCTTAAACACTTACTGCAAGTATCAGCTTCACTGAAAAGCCTACTCAGATTTTATTTTATTTTAAACTATTTGATTTCAGAACTCAGCAGAACAGTCAAGACCTCTTTTACTTGGTCATCAAAAGAAATACTATTTTTGGCATCTTTTATTGATACCTATCACCTTCTCTGATGACTAACAAAATAAAGTGAAAAAAACCTTGGGTTTCTTGCATTCCATGTTATTCAGCTAAGGGGCAGTCCTCAGGCAATACCAGGATCCCCTGCACTGGTTGGTCAGTAAGTATTGACAGTACTGCTTGGTACCACCAGTTACATTTCATAGGGACTCAAAATTAGTATGATACTGATGATACTGATAACCTCCTTGCCTGTAGCTCCAAAACATGTATATTACATGTTTCCAACACTGAATCTCCCTTCCAGAAAATTACAAACTCATTCAATACAAAGACCATGGCTGCACAACCAAAATCACCGTTGCTCTATTTCTCTGTCCACAGACATATTTTTATATTAGTGCTCCTCACTAACGCGTAATACAGTATTAATGTACTTCAAGAGCATCTCCAGACATCCATTAAAGTGTTTCCTACCATGCAAGTATATTTGCTTTCTTCCATTTCTGTGAATGACATAGGAGGTATCTTTTCATTGTTCACTTCATCCTCTTCTGGGAGTTCCCCATTGAGAGGGGATCCAGAAGTCCTTGCAAAGACTTATTTTGGCATTGCACGGTATTTAACCTACGACACTTGGCCCTCTCTATGCTGTGGAGATCGGACACTTCTAATCCTTCAGTAGCTTAACTGAATAGACAATCTTTGTCTTTAAAACCTCTTCTCCATTCTACAGGACTAATACCACTTCCTTCCACAGAATGCCATAAGAGATATGGGACAGGCTGCCCAGGGAGGTTGTGGAGTCTCCATCTCTGGAGATGTTCAAAACCCACCTGGACACCTTCCTGTGCAACCAGTTGTAGGGAACCTGCTTTGGCAGAGGGGTTGGACTAGATGATCTCTTGAGGTCCCTTCCAACCCCCACCATTCTGTGATTCTGTGATAGAGTTTACAGTCTACACTAGGAGGAATAGGTGAGAAAGGACATCTGGAAGAAAAACACGCAAATCTTTTGGTTATATTTTTTGCCTTAGTCATCCTCCAAGGCAATTATCATTTTTATTAGAAGTAACCAAGAAAGTTTTTAGAGTCTTTCAAGAACTCTAATGCATGTCTTGGATATTGCAAAACAGGTGATACAAATTACTCAGATTACTGGACTTTCTGTATTGTCCTTGCTGGCAAGCTTGCCATACTTATGAGCAAAGAGTTCTCTAAAAACTCATGTCTCATGTACTTTTGTCAGATTGCAATATTCAGATACCCCAAAAAATTTTAGGTTTTTCTGCAGTAGTGAAGTGTAAAATTGACCAGTGGTAGCAGAGATATGTAAAAGATAAAAAGCAGGAGATGCTCTGAATATAAAGATGCTCCTTATCAAACTTGATATGTTTGGCAAAATAAAGTGGTTTTCTGTAATACAAACTGGATTGTAGTAGGTTACAACTATAAAAAATTTCTGTGACATGCAAAAGCTTTCACAGGAACACAGAGAAAAAATTCAGTCTTTTCATAATGTTTTAAAAAATTTATTACTTCTTGGGCAGGAGTTAGTTGTAAGCATGTATTGTATGTTTAACAATTTAGACTTTTAAGAACTTCTTAACAAGGACTAGAGAATAAAACAATTTAAACAAATATTTTTATATAATTAGTATAAATTTTAAGTACAGCTCAATATAGTCGTTCTTGGATTGTAAAATGAGATCAGAGCAAAGCTTATATTCTATGAATTTACTCTTTTGTAATGTGTGAGACTATTACAGCATTAATTTCAGGTGCAGTGGTGAGGAAAACAAATGGATTAATAATGGACTTATAAGAGTACCTGTTGTTTATGTCATTTATTTTCACTTTTGTTTTTTTTTTTTAATCATGCAGATATTTCACACTGCACCAGACCCCAATATTCCTCTTCCCCAACCTCAGTCTCGATCAGGTTCAAGAAGGACAAGAGCAATTTGTCTCTCCACAGGTTCACGTAAACCCAAAGGAAGATACACACCATGTCTAGCAGATCCTGACAGTAAGTTTGTCCTTATTGACTCTTTATCTTCCTTTTTATGTCTTTTAGCTTTCCTGAATAATATCCAGTAAGTATTGTATTCCAGTAATTAGAAGCATAACAGATGGGATTTTGCTAGCTTTTTAACCTCTGTGAGTCACAGCCGTGCTGTTAAATGACGACATTCTTTGCTTCTCTAAGATGAGGAAGGGTGTTTGGTTTTAGGCAAGTCTTGTATTGCATACACTGTTCAAAAATCTTTTACAGTACACTTTATATTCTAATCTAAATATGATCTGCTTTGAAGCTCTGAGCAGTTTATTATATGAAATTCACCTTATTTGCTTGTCAAGATGATTGTTAAGGTTGTGAAACCATAAATAGAATCTTTCCTCTCCTCTTGTAATAAATGTAATTTAGTCAAGGTCAGGTGATCAAAACCATTACTTGGCTTTTTTAACATGCATGAAACTGGTCACTGGTTCAAAGTCAGCCACTGCGTAGGTTTGCCAAAACCACTGAAATGTTCTCAGTTTTTCTGGAGTAGGAAGAACTCTAATATATTGGGGAGAAACAGTATACTCATGGCTTACCATTTAACAGCAGGGAGTTATGTGTGTAATTAATTGCTTTTTTAGAATGCTTATTCATTTTCATGTAAATGTGACTATTTAAAGGTTACACTTCATTCATTTTCATCTAGTGAGCAGTCACTTTGTTACTTACTGGCTGTACCATTGGGAAGTATTGACACTGAAGCAAAGATTAAGTTGTTAACAGTTCCCCTACTGCAGCAGACTTCCAAAAGAACTTCTGTGTCCCTTCGTCCCTCAAGGAGATTTACATGAAACTGGTATTCTAAATTAAGTTAAGGTACAGGTGTACCTTCTAAATTAAGTTAAGGTACAGGTGTTCTTGAGAATCTCTAGTAATTCCTAAGTCTGTAATTTTAGGAAATGTAGCCACAGTATACGCTGGCACAGGTGCTGCATTTTCCATAGGTTTATATTACATGATTCCTGCCAGTGAGAGTTTAAATACTAATGAGAGCAATAGCTGCCTACACATTGGTTGCCAGTGTGAATGGCATGGGATCCCGGGTAAGACCTTACAGAAGAGCCGTCATTTACATTCACCAGACAAGAAACTGGGTGAGTTTCAGCTGGTTTTTGCTGTGTAACTGCAATGAATGAATGCCAGCATAAAAATCAGGCATCTCTGTGCAAGCATTTTGCAGTGCACGTGTAAGCAATTTGCAAAACACAGGCAGGCTCATGCTTCCTCATTGAGACACGTCTTGTGCTGGCAGCTGGATTGAAACTAGGTCTGACCCACGGGCTCTCCACTTGTGCTTTGCTTATTAGCTAAGCTCAGCACTTGCTACACAAGTCACAGTTAAGATATCGCTTGTGTCTGGAAGGCTGGGGCAAAAGCAGAGGTATTCTCCTTGCCAAATATCTTTAGGTGTGGATGGAGACAGGCAAGAGAGAGCCTTGGCTTCTGGCAGTAGCAAATTCTGCAGTACTAGATGGCTTTAAGTCATCACTGAAATGAAGCGTGGACACTTAACTATATTGCAGGAACTTAAGGAATTCTGTATGGCATGACAAAGGTTTCAAATGGTAGGGAATGATACAAAATGATAGAAAATGTATCTGACAAATTTATCCTTCAGACAATCTTGCAATTTTCAAGGGACTAATGGTTTTTAAAGGGACAAGATGAGGGACAGTCTAATCTGGAATACCAGAGTTCTGTCCAGAAATGTACAGAAAATTTCAGGTTATTATACCAGTGACACTACTGTTGTCAGATCCACTACACAAAGCAGTGGTATTTGTGACCTTATCTGTAGTGTTGTGTGTGGTTATAGTTACTTGTTGCCAAGGATATTGAAACATGTGGAGGCCAAAGCAGCTGTATCATGTTGATATCTTATAACTAGTGTGTGGTTGAAGAATATATATTCTCTGCTTCTTGTGATTTTTTTTTTAATTATATCTCTTAGTTTTTCCAATAAATCCTACTAGGAACCAATGTATGATTCACTAGACTGAATCTAGTCTTCAAGATAATTCAGCTCTCGCTGTATTTATTATACGCCAGTCCTTCCTCAATTCTGATGAGTGTTCCTAGCTTTATATCATCAGATAATTTCTTTAGTATATTCCCAGTTTTTGTTGCATTATCTCCAAGATTATTGGATATAAGATCAGTACAAAGATTGTTGTGTAGGTAGGTAAATTTCTGTAATATCAGTCTAATTAAAGAAATTAATCAAATGTTCAAGTTGTAAGGAATAAGTTGTCCTTCTGCAGGATAGATATTTTATGATAGGCATGACAATTCAGAAAATAGGATATGTATAGATAGACTGCAGGGATCCTCAGCAACTAGGTAACCAAAGTAAAATTTAATTCTTGTGCTGGCAGGCAATACAATCACGTGTGTAAAAACATAAATGTGACAAGTGTCACATTTACCTTATCACGAAAATCCAGCAAGATGCTTACTAGAAAGATACTGCGACACTGTAACTATTGAATTTCCCAAGGATATTTATATCACAAGCAGTGCTTTGACAATGCAAACTTCTATGCAAAATAGTTTAGCCTGTAGCCTGTTATGTTCATCAACTCTAAAAAAAATATCCACAAAATGCAGCTCTTGCAGGTTAAAGATAGGAATATGTATGAAACTTAGAGTAACTAAATAGATATTTTGTCTTAAGAATCAGTGCCTCTGGAACCGCAGGTTAATGAATTTAATGACAAGTAAGGTGCAAGGAGCTAGAGGTGGCATGAGAGAAATGCACATTATTAGAAAAAGTAATTACATTTTTTTGTTTCCCTCACTCCTCCCTAGGTGACTCATACAGCAGTAGCCCAGACAGCACTCCCATGGGCAGCATTGAATCTCTCTCTTCTCACTCCTCCGAGCAGAACAGCACTACCAAATGCACTCCCTCGCAGCCACGGGAGAAATCAGGAGGGATTCCATGGATTGCCTCTCCCCCTTCTTCTAACGGCCAGAAGAGTTCAGGCCTTTGGACTACAAGTCCAGAATCCTCATCAAAGGAGGATGCAACCAAAACAGATGTGGAGTCAGACTGCCAAAGTGTAGCTTCTGTCACTGGACCAGAGAATGCCTCTTCACCAACAGACCTGACCAAAAAGACTTCTTACAGTCTATCTGGGCTGAAAAGGTCTTCAGCATCTTCCCTCAGATCAATTCCATCCGCTGAAGGTAATTTCCAAGGTCTTTTAGGACATTCCTGTTTACTGTGAGGCATCAGAAAATAAAAGCTGCGTCTGAACACTAACAATGCCCATTAATCATTTATGTGTATTTTTTAATTTTTATGGCATGCTCTTTCAGTTTTCAAACTGCTTCTGGCGTATTTCCATTGTTTGTTACCTGTACAGTTCACACAGCTTAAAAGCTATCAGTATTTCTCTGAATTTAGAGTACTCCATCCTGCTGTGCCTCACCTAAACCACTGATTTGAAAGGAGATTGATGGTCTGTGAGAAGGGTTGGTAGCTGTGGTTTATCACTGTGCCAAAGGAATAATTTGTTGCAACATGATTGACACAGATCAAAGCTAGTATTTAAATTTAAAAAGCACTAGGTTTAACATATCTAGCAAGTAACAGTTTCGTAACTCCTTGTCCATGCATCTCTTCAATTCACTGAAACAGGAGACTGAAGGAAAGTGGGGGCTGTTTGGTTTTGGTTTTTTTGTTTAGTTCTGGATTTTACAATCAAAGCCTTTAGTAGGACTGGACAGATGGGCTAAAAAGGTAATGTCCGGCATTGAATGTATGTCTGAAACCCTGCTGATGGAATGGCTATTTCATTCTTCGTTACTTGGATAACTTGTTAACCAGTACTGCAAGTAGATTAGCTTGAACACAAGATTATGGTTGAATGGTCCTGTATGTGGACGTGATGTACAAAGCCAACTTTAGGAATCCCATTTCAGTGCACAAGTGGGGACACAAGTCTTCCTGTTCAGTTGAAGAAGGCTGCTACTTCGAAGAACACCCTCAGAGGACTTAAGTCAAGCCTATGTTACAAATAAGCCTGTAGACAAGACTCCATACAAGACAGAGAAGCTTAAAAACATAGCTTCTTAATTTAGACAGTTCTGCTAAATGCAAAGTTAGCTGGAATGCCTGTGACCCCTTGCTGTACCTCTGTGAGTACATGAGGTGATACTGCACTATATTTACAGCTATGTGGAAATTACTTTAGAAGAAACACCTTCTTGAAATCAGTATGTATGTAGTGTTTAAGATTATAAAGATTAGCAGCCAGCACTGAAACAGTGAGCTGCAGTGGCCTGAGTGTGTTGCCACTGAGCTGTCAATAGTAAGTAATGCAAGCACAGGGTAAGGTAAATATGTGGTTATATGCAAAGTCCTAAAAGTTCAAGAAAGTTCTCTCCTCTCTGCCCCCGATGGAGTGTACAGACTTTTTCTTAAGTCTTCCAGATATTAATTAACAGTATTAAAATGTCAAATAATAATTATCATTAACAATAATTTATAATCTAGAATAATACTATAGAATCATAGAATGGTATATGTTGGAAGTGACCTTAAAGATCACAGAATCACAGAATCACACAATATTAGGGATTGGAAAGGACCTCAAAAGATCATCTAATCCAGTCCCCCTGCCGGAGCAGGAACCTAAACGAAATTACACAGGAAGGTGTCCAGGCGGGTTTTGAATGTCTCCAGAGAAGGAGACTCCACAACCTCCCTGGGCAGCCTGTACTAGATCATCTAGTTCCAACTCCCCTGCCATGGCAGGGACACCTCCCACTAGACCAGGTTGCTCAAAGCCTCATCCAACCTGGCCTTAAACACTTCCAGGGAGGGGGCATCCACAACTTCCTTGGGCAACCTGTTCCAGTGTCTGACCACCCTCACAGGAAAGAATTTCTTCTTAATATCTCATCTAAACCTACCCTCTTCCTGTTTATTACCATTACCAGAGAGTAACAATATTAATGATATAGATATTGGTTTTGTATTTTGGGATCTATTTATATTATGACAGCTTTTAAAGCATTTTTAAGCATCTGTTGTTCCTGGGAATAAAGAAACACAGAAGTAGATGGAGTTATTTTCTTGCAGAATGTACATGCGAACAAGCCAGCAGTCCACTCATAGATCAGCTTAAAGGACAGATGTGGCTATGCCTTGTATTCATTAACAGGACTTCTTTTGTGTGCAATACAGTCTGTACAGCTATAGATTTGTTTTATGAAGTTACAGTAGCAATTGTTTTAGGCAACTCATAATCATTAATTCCTAAATATTTTTTTTAAAACTGAATGAACCTTCTGTGAATACTGAAATACTAATTCTTGCAAATGAACGTGGTCTGATTTCATAGCAGATGCTGCTTTGAGCAGGAATTTGAACTAGATGACTTCTGAGATCCCTTCCAACATGAATTTTTTCTTCAATTCTATGCAGTGTACTATTTTATAAATGGTGTTTGTGTTGTTGCTTTTTAGTGAATGTACATTTAAGTACAATGTAATTTTTCAGCCTTCACAATTTTAATGTCATTTCAAATCCTGCTGTTGGTCCCTTTCTCCTGGCTTTCTGCCTGAAAGGCTGTTTTTTCTCTGTCTTAGTAAGTATTTTCTCCACCTATTTTGCCTCTTCAACAAAAAACTGGTTTCCATGTTACACACGTTGTGAAACAACTTCAAATTAGCTTTAATATTCCCTGTAATTTGGTTGTTTTCTTTAGGTAACAAAAGCTGCAGTGGATCTATACAGAGCTTATCTTCAACAGATACCAAAGATACACCGAAGGCTCCAACAAACCCTGATTTGCCTCCCAAAATGTGCAGGAGATTAAGATTAGATACTGCATCAAGTAATGGCTATCAAAGACCAGGATCTGTGTAAGTCATCAAAGCCTTTTAGAGATTTGTGTTGTTACAGTATTGTCTACTATAAAGTGATCCCAGAGAGCTACATAAGTAGTTGAAAAAGCATCTGTGAATACTTGATTTGAATATTTCTGTATTTGTGCATTATTTATCTGGCTTCATTAAAATTGTAAAGAAAGGAGACACAGCACAAAGTCTGTTGAAGTCAGTTGAAAGACTCCCATTGACTTCATTAGACTACAGATAAGGTCTATAATGAAGAAATGTATCTTTGCAAAATGATTAGTAGTATTATCTCTGGTTCTTCTGAAATTTAATATTTCAAGGAGCATAAATGCTGCTTATTGTCCATGCTGTTATGTCAAGAAGATCATCAGATCTTATTTGTGTAAGTCCAGAATTTAAGAAAGAAAAAAAACAAACTTCTGCTCTGAAATTTCTTCAGTTGCTGCATGTTAGTTAATATCTTTGGTTTTTTCTAACAGTTGGAGTTTTTTTGGGCAGGTTATGTTGAAAGGAGGATAGTTCTAAACAGTAGAGGTTATAATGTTGTTTATTGAGATTTGTGGTAGCAATGTTTCTTAGTGCTTTTAGCACAAACTTAAGAGTCAGATCTTTGCTGTAGTCCTGACTTTGACCCAGAATTTTTCTGTCCCCACGAATAAGTGATTTCCAGATCTGCAGAGCACCAAGGAGTTCTCCAAATACTGCAGCACTCCATGCAGCCTCTCCACATTTTAAACTGGAGGGGATTACTGTAGTCCTTTCACAGACTGTTGTGTCTTAAACAGAGAATCCTCCACAGCTCCAAGTTCCTGCATTACAGTGACAGACTGGCAGTAAAAACATTTCCAGTTTATCTCCTGGCCATCCACAAATAGAACTTTAGATACAGGGTGTTGAGATTTCCCTTGCTGACTCAGCAAGGCACTAGAGCATGTGGAAGTCAGGCCTCAGTTAGGTTATGCCCTTGAGAATTCTGCTGAATAGGGACTTAAATTCAGCTTTTGAGTTTCCTCTGTTTCTCTAAGTGAATAGTTAAAACAATTTTTTAAAATGTCACCATGTCTTTAGATGATTAAAAGTGAAGTTAATCTGTGTGTTTTATTAATGGGCAAAGTATAAAGCAAGGTGGTGCTTTATTTTCAGAGTGGCTGCAAGAGCCCAGTTGTTTGAAAGTGCTGGTTCACTTAGACAAGTGTCTTCGGGACGGTAAGTGCTTCACAGTATTTAACAATTTAGAAAATCCTTTCTGTTTTACTGGCTCCAGAGATTGAAGTAGAAGTGTTGGAGCTTCGTTCTGTGTCTTTTGGACAGCATCATGTGGCATGCAAAATTTTTGTGGTTTATTAAACTCATCCTTGCTCCAGAAGAAAATTAAATCTAATAGAGAATACCAGCCTATCTGGCTATTTTGCCACCTAGGGGAATTGCAATGAGAGATGCTCAGGTTAGTGATCTACTTAAGGACACAGCAACAAAAGTAAATTAACTGCATATAAATTAGGATGAGGGCGCTGTACTTATTCCATACAGCTATTCGTATATACATGCTTTCAGCAGAGTAGCAAACATGCTATTTTACAGTAATTTGATTATGTAGGCAGCAACTGCTTTAGAAAGTTTGAGATGAACTTGATCAGGATTCCTGTCTTTCCCATCACATTTTCCATGCCTCAGTATCTGTCTGGAGAAATTATTCCCCTTTTTCCTTGATAGTGTGCAGCAGGAAAGCAGGAATTATTTACATTTTCTTTACAGTTGCATGCATTTATTTAGTGGCTTTGATTCATTCTTATATTAAGTATGTTCTGATAAGTGTTCATCTAGGAAGCAGTATCTTCCATACATTACTAACCAGCCTTGGATGTGGGAAAAAAATCTCTCTCTCTTTTCACTGTCCCTGCATTTCAAGTTTTTTGAGACAGAATATATCATAGAATCATAGAATGCTGTGAGTGGGAAGGGACCCACAGGGATCATTGAGTCCAACTCTTGCCCTAGCACAGGACAATCTGAGGGCATTGTCCAAATGCTTCTTGAATATTGTCAGGCTTGGTGCCATGACTGCCCCCCTGGGGAGCCTGTTCCAGTGCTCCACCACCGTCTGGGTGAAGAACCTTTTCCTAACAGCCAACCTCGCCCTACCCTGGCACATCTTCCTGCCATTTCCCCTGTCTACCATTGGTGGCCAGAGAGAAGAAACCAGCACCTGCCCCTCCTCTTCCCCTTGGGAGGAAGTTACAGACTATGATGAGATCTCCTCTCAAGTCTCCTCTTCTCCAGGCTGAACAATCCAAGTGACTTCAGCCTCTCCTCATATGGCTTCCCCTCTAAACCCTTCACCAATTTAGTGGCCTCCTCTGGACACCCTCCAGTAGCTTTGTATCCTTTTTATCCTGTGGTGCCCCAAACTGTACTTACTGATACCAGGAACTGTCAAGCTTACTGGAACTGTCAAGTAATAGGGAAAAAAAAAAAAGTTAATTGAAGAGTAGTAATCTAATGTAGCGTGGCTGTGAATGAAGATGCCAACATGTGCTGAGATGTGCAGCAGTGGAACATGGCTGTCCTCTCTGACAGATCTATCAGGGGTGAGATAGAGAAAGCTGACCTGCAAAGGCCCACTGATTTTTTCAAGAGAAGCTGCTTACATGAAGCAAGACTGTTCTTGTTTTGTGTAGTACATGAACTGTAAGGTGACCAAAGAAGGAGTAAAGGGAGATTAAAACAGCAGGACATTAATTTAAGGAAGAAAAGTATAAATGGAAGAGACTGGAATATTCTTCAGCCAGTGCCCAAAGCTGAGAGTGATGATTGCTTCACCAGTCCTGCATCATTTCACCTCCACCACTCTTCCTTCCCTTATTTTGTATCACTCCCTTCTTGTAAGCTCTCCCCTGTTGTTCCCTCAGAGCTTGTGCCACATGTATCTGTACATAAAAAGCAAGTAAGAAGCAAAAATCTGTCAAAGGAAAAATGTAGCACTTTGATAATGGATATGGAGAGCAGATAACAAAGCTGAAAACGCTGAAAGGCTTAATAGCTACTCCAGCCCTCCTGAGAAAGCAGAAGAGCAACAGTAAAAAGGAGAATGGAAAACGAGAGGTCGGCAGGCAAAATGAGGAAGAAATAAGGAGCAGCTCAGCTGTTCTTATAAAGCTGCTCATGTCTGAATAAGATTTTGCAATTCAGAGCCAGCTTTTATTTACCTCTCATGTATGTTATGAATATGAAGCCTGATTTAAAATTTTAGAATAGTCTTCTTTCAGTTTGAATTATCTAAAATCATGGTAATTACATCTTGATCCACCCAGTAGAAAGGCCTTCTGAGTTCATAACTCTGCTATGTATGAATGTATGCAGGACAGACTGTAAGACAGAGAAATTATTTGTAAGCTGTCTGGTTTGATATGAGTCAAGATAGTGTTGAACTCTGTGCAGGGGTAATTTACCCTGCTAAAAATAACTAGTTCTGAAATTTTGAGCTACCACTTACCTATGCATTATAGTATCTAAGTAGTATTATTTCTACTTTAAGCATCTGTTTCCTGTTGTGGTCATTTGTACAGTAGATGGATCAAAAGTACCTGTATGGTTTTGCAGTTTCACCTTGTCATCTGTATTCCAGCAGATAATACTTTACCACCACAGTGGCCCAGTTTTACTTAATTCCTTCTTCCAAGTAGTCTTTGCAGATCTGCTTTCTGGTTTCGTATAACACTATCTCTAATACGAGTTTGTGTGTCACATGTTTTTTTTAATGCTGGGACATTATTTGACCTGGCTGTTCTCTCTCCTTGTATAGATGAGCACTTGCCCCATAGCACTGCTAGTTTGAACACATTTCTTTTAGTCAGAAAGAGAATGAGAGGTCACAGGACCTCTGTGTACACTGAAACCAATCCCTATTGCTAACCTAGTATGTGCTTGAAAGAGGCGAAGGAGTTTTCTTACTGCTTTCACAAATATTGCAGTTATCCAACAGTCTCAGTGAGCCCTGAGGTCTCTTTATTGCAGCTTCTGTACAAAAATGCACCAACACGTAATCCCCGACTCTGTGTTTTCTTGACTTGGATTTAGAGCTACACAAAAAGTCAGCAAGTTTCTCACATAAAGTGAAAATATTGATATTATTATTATTATTATTATTATTAT